GCAGAGCATGGGCTCTAGGCACGCGGGCTTCAGTAGTTGTGGCACACGGGCTCAGTAGTTGTGACTCGCGGGCTCTAGAGCGCAGGCTTAGTAGTTGTGGTGCACGGTCTTAGTTGCTCCACAGCATGTAGGATCTTCCCGGACCAGGACTCGAACCCGTCTCCCCTGCATTGGCAGGCAGATTCTTAACCACTGCGCTACCAGGGAAGCCCTCAGGCCTTATGGGATTGTTTTCCTTCTTCCTGAAGTACCTCCTTTAGAACCTCCTTTGGTTGGCATCTGTTGCTGGTAAACTCTCGATTTTTGTTTGTAAAATCTTTATTTCACATTAATGACACTAAGAAAACATTATTACACTGTCTTCTGGCTTCCACTGTAGCTGGTGATAAGTCTGTTTTCAGCCTAATTGTCATTGTTTTATTGATAATCTATCTTTTCAAATAACTTGATATATAAATGGAAGGACAATAGGTATATTTAAAAGGGCATTAATTTGCGAAGAAATAAATGGCAGACAAAATCCTGATCCATCTCTGAGACCTTAGGCAAGTTTCTTAACCTCTGAGTCCCGTGGCTTCATGGTAAGAAGGAATCTGTACTCTGCATGGTGGTTGTGGGAATCAGAGAAGCCGCATGCATGCCCTGGACAAATAGAGAAACTCCACTGACATGGTTATTTCCATGGATTCCATCTCTTTTCACATTTTTATGACACTTAAAGGTTAAAAATTTGAGTCTGTCAACAATGATGTTTAGTGCTTATTTTGAAATATCAAAACATAATTCCAACTGTGGCTCATTTTATTATTTTCTGTTATATAGAATTTTCTTTTCGATTAACTTAATAAGGAAACCTACAAGCCTCTGCTAATTAATTTCTCGGCACCAACTACAGTAGCTCAAACTCAGAATATTATCATGTCAAAATGGAACAAAAGAAGAAAGGGAGTTTTGGGTACTCCTTTAGGCAAGAGACTGGTAATTGGGGCTTCCCTGGTGGCGCAGTGGTTGAGAGTCCGCCTGCCGATGCAGGGGACGCGGGTTCGTGCCCCGATCCGGAAAGATCCCACATGCCGCGGAGTGGCTAGGCCCGTGAGCCATGGCCGCTGAGCCTGCGCGTCCGGAGCCTGTGCTCCTCAACGGGAGAGGCCACAACAGTGAGAGGCCCGTGTACCGCAAAAAAAAAAAAAAAAAAAGACTAGTAATTGTCCTTGGTTTCTATCCACATAGTACTGCACTGGTCCTTTTCATGTACACAGCTGTGGTCAGAACAAGAAAACCAACTATTTGGGCTTGACAGCTTTGTGTACAGTTTTTTTTTTTTAAATCACGAATTTTGATTTAGAAGTTTTCCTAAAATGGTCGTCATATTTGTATCTGCATTGGACAACTTGACATTCAAAGCAATTAAAATTAGAATAATTCTAATTAAAATTAGAATATTCATCTGGGGAATTATTTACCTTCAGCAGAGTCGGCTGCTTGCTCATCTAGGCCTTTTAACAGCCCAGCTATCCACTAACTCATCTGTGTTCCTCTGCAAAGAAACCCTTCTCACCCTCACCACTCAAAAGTTGTGCTCATTTTGAAATCACACCTTTCTCATCTGTTTTAACGTATTGACGTTGTACAAGGGAAAAAGACAAGATATATTGAGAAATAAATTGTGTGAGAGGGTTAAGGAATCCTAAACTATTAACCTATGAAGGTTGGTAATGAGAATGTCTCCCTATTTCTTAAAAGCATGGATGCAAAGGGACAGTATTCTTGATTGGAAAAGAAACCATCACTTCCCACCTATTTTCTCAACAAGAAGGTAATTTAATTCTTTGCCTGAACCTTGTTTGCCCAATAGGACACTGTGTGCAGATGTTACTATTTTCCGATACCTCTTCTCTTTCTGTTCTCGGGTTGTCTTTGTGGACGACGTCAACCTGCCTGCTCCAGGGGAAGATGGGGCTCAACCTCCTGCTGAGTTACTTAGACGGCAGTTCGATCACTGGAGTCAGAATGACCTAAAGGATTGTTCTGTGATCAAACTGGTGGACACTCAAATCGCATGTGCTCTGGGACCCGCAGGTACATTTTCTGAGTTTGTGATGATTAAGATTGAAAATCACCCTGGCTATATCCGAAGAGGTAGCTGGAGAAAGGAAGAGAAACCCATGGGACAATATGGGTCACAATGTTTTCTAAGCATATATACACTGCCACCTGAGGGTGTCCACCATAGTGGCCTGGGTCGGGGCCATTCTCCCACCAACTCTTCCAATCCTTTCCTCCCACCTTCTGGGATTTACCTGTAAGACTTATCTATACTTACCTGTTTACTTTTCCCCACCCCTTCAGGCCCTGGAAAGGGAATAGGCTGAATCCATGAGGTCACAACTTGGAAGTCCTAGAAGGAGGTCACTGGAACCTCCAATCTATAAATTTGCTCCCCATTTCCTGTCCTGCATCCTGAGAACTCCAGCACCTTGTCTCATTCCTTAATGTTCCAGCTGTATGAACCGTCCCTGATCAAAGATCAACTTTCCTCAACCCCAATCAAGTCCCATCCTAGTGGGTCTCTGCCTTTAGATGGGCTATTGAGAGGAATTTAAGTAAGAAATAGCCCAAAGAATTGACCCTTAAAGATCCTTTACATTTTCCAAGAGAAATTTATAAACTCAAAGGAATCTCAATGTAGGGAAATTTTTTTATGCAAAAGTGTCGAAAATGGCTTGATTCAACTAACTGGACAGCTTCAACTATTTCCCTCCCGAACTCAAGTTTGTTATTCTATTTTTAAAAAATTCCTTCTCTCGGGACTTCCCCGGTGGTGCAGTGGTTAAGAATCCGCCTGCCAATGCAGGGGACACAGGTTCGAGCCCTGGTCCGGGAAGATCCCACATGCTGTGGAGCAGCTAAGCCCATACGCCACAACTCCTGAGCCTGTGTTCTAGAACCCGTGAGCCACAACTACTGAGCCTGCATGCCACAACTAATGAAGCCTGAGTGCCTAGAGCCCGTGCTCCGCAACAAGAGAAGCCACTGCAATGAGAAGCCCACTCACCGCAACAGAGAGTAGACCCCGCTCGCAGCAACTAGAAAAAGCCCGCACGCAGCAACAAAGACCCAACACAGCCAAAAATAAAATTAAATTAAAAATTAATTTAAAAAAAAGAATCTGCCTGCCAATGCAGGGCACACGGGTTTGAGCCCTGGTCTGGGAAGATCCCACATGCCCCGGAGCAACTAAGCCCGAGAGCCACAACTACTGAGCCCGCATGCCTAGAGCCCATGCTCTGCAACAAGAGAAGCCACCGCAATAAGACTGTGCACGGCAACGAAGAGTAGCCCCTGCTTGCCGCAGTCAGAGAAAGCCCACGCGCAGCAACGAAGACCCAACGCAGCCAAAAATAAATAAATTTATTTTTTAAAAAAAGAATTGACTCACCCTACATCTGCAGGTTGAGAACCCACATCCAGCTGAGAAGGATGTGCTTGAGAAGGAAACCCCAGGTCGGTTTGGGGAACACTTTTAACCCAGGGAAATTTAGAATTGAGTATAGTGATGATGAAGTAAATCAAAACTATAGCATTTATCTTTTCGTGTTAAGCTCAGAAATCTACTTTGTATCTTTGGCATTTTCAGAACTTAGAAAGTCTAAGCAAATTGGGCAGATTTGAGTGTTAACGTCAGACTTGTGATTCTAATTTTAAATGTGCTCTTGAGTCATTGGTTTCGGCCTGTGATTGTAAGTTGAAGTCTTACTACATTGGTAAACAGTTTTTGAATATTTAAAAATCACCGTATTTATAGGTTTAATGGATCTGATTGATAAGGATCACTTAAGGACTTGGGAAGATTTATTAGTCAGATAATTGAAAAACTTAGAAAATGGAATATAATACACTTCGATTGCAGCGTAAAATGTTTAAAGGAGTTTAATTAACTAAGTAGGTAAATGCTACAAACATTCATCAAAGTTCGCCTTAAAAATGATTGTTAAAATTGGCTGGATATATTCATAGGATAAGATTTGTACATTGTACTTAAAAGCTCAGAGAAGAATTAGGGCTTAAAAAACAAAGTATTTCTGAAAAGCCTTTTCTCTGACCAAAAGCTGTCCTCGAAAACGTCAGAAAAATACTTGGATTGGGACCAGAAGGAGGCTGGAGGGAGGATGACTCGGCAGCCACCTGTCCAGCCATCATCCTGGACCAGTGGGGCAATAGGTCTGGCAGGTGGTGCCCATGGGTGGGTGATGTGAGCCCCGGATCCAGGCTCCCTCCTTCCTCTCCCCATCCCCAACTTGGAGATACTCCCCAAAGCAGCCATTGGGCTACTGCAGAGACATGGGTGGGGGGCGGTCACTGGAAGTCCCAGGCCCTGTGCCTCACAGCCTCTGTGAGAAGTGAGCTTGGACACCCCCGACACCCTCTGGTCTTCGAAGCCTCTTGTCTGCTTGGCGTTGCCCTCTGTGGTGGGCAGGATAATGCCCCCCAAAGATATCCAGGTCCTAACCTCTGGAACCTGCAAATGTTACCTTATATGGCAAAAGACACTTTGCAGATGCAATGGAATTAAGGTTTTTGAGATTAAGGAATATTATCCTGGATTATCCGGGTGGGTCCTAAATATGATCACAAGTGTCCTTGTAAGAGAGGCAGAGGGAGATTTGATGAAAGGAGGTGACGATGAGCGCACTGAAGCAGGTGGTTGTGCTCCCGAGCGCAAGGAATACAGCTCTGGAGACTGGAAAAGGCGAGCAGCCAGATTCTCCCCACGAGAGGAGACATTTCTTCTGTCAGAGAAGAAATGGTGTGGGTTTTTTGTTTTTTGTTTTGTGGTACGCGGGCCTCTCACTGTTGCGGCCTCTCCCGTTGCGGAGCACAGGCTCCGGACGCGCAGGCTCAGCGGCCATGGCTCACAGGACCAGCCGCTCTGCGGCACGTGGGATCTTCCTGGACCGGGGAACGAACCTGCGTCCCCTGCATCGGCAGGCGGACTCTCAACCACTGCGCCACCAGGGAAGCCCATGGTGTGGTTTTAAGCCACCACGTTGGTGGTCACTGTCACAGCAGCAAGAGGAAACTGGTACACCTGCTCCGAGCACGTCCTTGCCTGTGGCTCCCCGTGATGCCACAACTCTTCTCAGGGGCCCCATGGCCCTTGCTGATCCTTGGACAGAGTGGGGGGCCTGGGGAGGTTTCAGTCCATCCTCTTCCCCAGCGAGCTGCTGACATCTCACCATTTAGTGGAGAACGTCTTGGCACCTGCCCCAGTCATTGGTACAGGGTTCCCAAGCTTGACAGTGGCACCATGTCAGTGGGTGTGGCTGGCATGATAACGACCTCAAGGCCTCTCTGTAAGTCTGCAGGCAGCACACCCTGGGTCCTCGCTGTGGGTCCCTTTCTTTGCCCACTTGTCCCTAAGGCAGGCTCCTCTGCGGGCTTCCTCACTGTGTGGAGTGGATTGCAAGCTGGTCCTGAACCACAGGGGGGGCCATCATCACCTATCACTACCGGTGGGCCTCAGATTGCTGGGGGCCCAGCGCTACTGCATCCCAGACTGGCATCTCCTGCACCTCACCATCTCCACCCCCCTTCCTGTATTCCTGGCAGGTGTGGTCTGGTTTCGGTGACAGCTCAGAGATGCCTGGTGTTAGATCAGGGGAGACAAGTCAAAACATTTCACAACGAACCCCAGAGGCCACACCAATTCACATCACAGTTAAGCTGAAGTTCACAGGAAACAATGTGTGATCCAGAGATCTCCAAAGTGGGTGGCATGCTTCTGGGAGAGGCACCAGACAATCTGTGGGGGTAAGGGAAGAAATGTCAGAACTCCCATTTGTATTTATTTTTAGCTCATTCTTTTAAATTTCCATTTCTTGATTATCTTTTATATTATCTTTAATATATTAGGAGTCTAAGTATATAGTTATAACTAAATAAACATGAAATGGTGAGAATAAGATTTAAACTTTTTTATTTAATGAAGGTGATGAATAAAGAATGTTTTTGCATCACTAATCTAATCGTCAAACATTTGTTGATTTTCTACCATAGGCAAAGAACTAAGCTAGATGCTGGGGGATTTTTTTTTTTTTAATGAAAAGACTTTAGTCTTTTGTTTTTAGTCTGTGTTTACACAGAGGAGAATACATATTCACAATACATATATTGGGCAAAGGACTATATCCAGAAAATATAAAGAACTCTTATAACTCAATAATGGTGGAATTTTTAAAAAAAGAGCACAGGGTATGGTCTCTAGCAGAAAGGTTAGAAGTGCTGCTCTGAATGACAGCCTGGGGAGAATATCTGTAACTCACATCACAGACAAAGGCTAATTTCCCTAAAATATAAAGAGCATGTACAAATCAACAAGAAAATGACTAACAGCCTAATTGGGGGAGGAGAAGGGCTGGGCAGATGAGACTCACAGAAATGAACTACAAATGGCTGTCGGACATGTGAAAGATGCTCACTCATTGTAAGCAGGACATGTGTTAAAAGACACTGAAATACCAGTTTCCCCCCATCATGTTGGCCAAGATCCACAGTGTGAAAGCAGGCACCACTGATGGGGAGGGAGGCAGGTCATCTATTACAACAGTGACAGCTTCAGAATTACAAACACACACGCCTCCAAGTTGGCCACTCATCTGGGAATTTACCTACCAATGTACTCACCTGTGGGAAATAAACTGCATACATCCATACAATGGGGTATCACTCGGGCTTAAAAAAGAATCAGGAAGCTCTATATGTACGGATATGGAATGAGTTCCAAGAATTATTGGTAGTGGAAATGGCGAGGGGCTACGATTTGTGTAAAAAAGAAGAAAAAATACATATTTATACACGCATAGACAAATACTTGGAAAGCCGAGTGCAGGTGGGAGAGGCGGAACCAGAGCCTTCTTTGGGGGCTGCTATCCAGAACAGGACAGATCCCTGGACAGGTCGGGAAGTGAGCTGGAAAAGGACCCACAGTGCCCTGCTCCAAGTCTTCATGGGGCCATGTTAAGCTCTCCAGCCTCGGTTTCCTCGTAGGAAACAAACAATGCCCACCCCTTAAGCCCCTGGGCTTGCTGGATGCCAGGTTAACACAGGCCCTGTTATTAGGGGTTTTCTGGCGCCAGGCTCTGTGCTCTGGGCTTCACATAGATTATCTCATGGAAACCTCACGACAGCCCTGTGAGAGGGCTACTATTTGCATCTCAGTTTCCAGGTGCTGAAAGTGAGGCTTAGTAAAGAGGTTAAATAATTGGCCCCATGTCACACGGTGACAAAGCGAGATTCCACCCAGCTCTCTCTTTCCAAAGCTGAGCCATATTCCTTTTCTTACAGACAGTGAGACCTCAAACCCACATCCGGCCTGGTATTTTGCTGTGTCTTGCATTGCCCCTGCTCACAGCCCTGAGCCAACCTTGGGGTCCCCAAAAGCACCCGGTTCTAGAGGAGGCTGCAGCCTCACATGCTCTCCTTGTCCCTGTGGGTTGATGCTGGCTTCCCGTCTGTCCTTCCGGAGCCTCAGGAACAAAGCACGCTGCTGATGGGGGCTGCAAAGCAACGTGCACAGCACTGCTGTCCTGGACAGCGGCAGGGAGATGGCCGCCAGCACTAGGGGAGGGGAGAGGGGCTGCCGCACAGCCCGCAGAGGGGTAGAGACCCCTAGTTCTCCAGAGTCGTCCTAAACAAAGAGGACGAAGGCCACAGCTACCCCTCAGAGAGGCTTTCCGTCACCTGAGTGACAGGAATTCCCCTCCCCGCTCTATCCCCTTCTGCTATATCATCCTCTGTCCTCCATTTCTATTAATATATTTGCGCGTTGATTGCTGTCTCTCTTCCTCTGCTGGAGTGGAGCCCCTATGAGGCAGGGCTTTAGGGGCGTGTCCTCGGGCCGTTCCTTACACAACAGGCGCTCAGGAAATGTCTGTTGAATGAATGAATGAACGAATGAGTGCGTGTAGAGTTCATCCCAAGCGCTCTGTCTGCTCCCAGGGATGAGGACCATGGCGGGGGGGGGGACCCCAGGGCCACCATCCAGGGCACAGACCTGGGGGCCCTCGAGCTCTTGCTGCTATGTCTCACACCATCTGCTTCCCACCACAGGTGCTTCATAGTGGGAAACGGGAGGCGTCAGGTGTGCCAGGATTGGAGGTTGTCAGCGTGGGGAAGCTGGAGGTGGGCAGATTAGAAGGGAGGCAGCCCACGTGATTGGTCAGGGGAGCAGATTTGGCTTTCTCTGGTAGGTCTTAAGTTGGAGCAGAGAAAAAATTAGGGCAGCTGGTAGTTACCTACCGAGTTCTGGCCTTTGGGGGTTGATGCTGCAGAAGTTGAGGTTTGGCTCCCCCGGGCTGGTTTGCTGCGGCTCGCTCAGTGTTCTATTTTTGTATGTGGTCTGGCCTTGGTCGGTTTGTACATTCAGCCTCTCGCGATCCCCCGATCCACGGTGCCCTGGGCTTGCCTGGTGCGCGGCTCCTCCCTTTTTGTGCGGTCGGTGGTGCTGGGGAACCCTGAGGCCGCCGTGCCAGGCGGATTCTCGGCACCCGCCCGCAGGTCTGGCCGCCCCCCGGGGCCCTGCAGGCTGTGGGGCGCGACAGGCCCAGTCCCTGCGCTGCTTGGCGAAGTGCACGCGCCGCCTGCGGATCCGCCGCCAGCAAACCCGCCGCTGCGTCGCGCGGACGCTGGACCTGCTCCTGGGCGGAGCCAGCGAGCTCGCAACTACCTGGGCGCCCAGGTGGGTGCGCAGGGCCGGGGGGCGCCATCGCCTGGGCAGCGGCTGCTGCGTTCGGGGCCTCAGTTCCCCCGCCCCCACCTCTTCGGGCTGGCTAACGGTAGCGGTTCATGTCTTTCGGTCCTGCTTAGAGGGAAAGGACGGCTTGTGATGCCAAGGGCAGAGCCAGGTTGACGTATGCTGGGAGCGGCGAGGAGTCTCCGGGAGGGAGGCCTAGGGCGTCTGGGCACCAGAGGTCTGCCCCAAGCTTGCCATGGCCACGAGGTGACCGGAGGAAAAGGGCGGGGCGGAGCGGGCACCGCCCCACCCCCTGATGCGCGCTCAATGACTTCCTATCCTGGGGTGTCCAGCGGGTCCCGGGAGGGAGCCCGGCTGTTTTAGCAGATCCTCCACCGAGACCCCAGGCGCACGTGCTCTTCCCGGCCAAAGGCAACAGCCGCCAGAGGGCACACGTTAGACAAACCCAGCCCTGAGCTGCGGCCGCCCCTCCCCTCCCGCCTCACCTGTTCTGGGTCACCGCCCGCGCGCATCTGGCCATGGCGACCGTGAAAGCACCGCCCCCAAATGCTCACTCCTCGATGCGGGCGCACGCCCGGAGGGGCAGGGGGTCATTCTAGGCGGTGTCCCAGGAGGGGGAAATGCGTGCCTTCACAGGGAAAGAAGTTGATTCCCTGGTCACTTCTCTTTCCGCCCCCGATTGGCTGACGGGAGAATCTCCTTAACCCTTGCTGATGCTTTATTCTTAAAAACAAAGAGAAAGCTCAGAGCCCTTGGCAGGCAAAGGGATCCAGCTAGAACATCATACTGTTGGTTTTGTTTCCACAGGATCTGTTTTTACAGTTTCCTTCTGTTTATGACAAGTGATACTGGTTTTCCAGTTATGGTAGTTGACAAACATCCCGCAGAAGATAAATTATTTAGAAGTCTGTTGACTGAAAGAAAAGCATGAATAAATAATAGTTTATCATTTATTAATAATAAACAAGGGAACTGAGGATGTGACAGAAGTCAGGAAGACATGTAAGTGACAGAAGTTTTTTTATATAAATTTATTTATTTTTGGCTGCCTTGGGTCTTCGTTGAGGTGCGCGGGCTTCTCACTGAGGTGGCTTCTCCTGTTGCGGAGCACGGGCTCTAGGCGCGGGGCCTTCAGTAGTTGTGGCTCGCGGGCTCTAGAGCGCAGGCTCAGTAGTTGTGGTGCACCGGCTTAGTTGCTCCGCGGCATGTGGGATCTTCCCGGACCAGGGCTCGAACCTGTGTCCCCTGCACTGGCAGGCGGATTCTTAACCACTGAGCAACCAGGGAAGTCCTAAATGATGGAATTTTGAAAAAACAGTGCTCTGAAGCAAGATGATGAACGCCTGCTGCGTCAGAAACTCATTTTATTACTGTGTCTTTGTCTTGGACTTTTTTTGGTGACCTAAACCTGGGCCTTGAAGATTTTGAAAACCTGGAACAAGTATTTCTTTATTAAATATGTACATTGCTTTTCTGTGTGGCTATGCACTATTCTAAGTGCTTTACTAATATAATATTATCTCATTTCATCCTCACACCCTATGTGATCAGTACTACTGTCCCCATTTTACAGAGGAGGAAACTGAGGCACGGTGAGGTTAGCTAACTGTCCAGCGGTCAGAGCTGGGATTTGAACCCAGTTTGGTTGGCTCCAGAGTCAGCGCTGTGAACTCTCATGGGGTCCTGGCTTCCTAGCCCTCATGCTCAGCAGCTCAATGTCAGCACAGCAATTTGATTCCCAGGTAGTCTTTTCAAAGGCGTTTTAGGGCAGAGGGTGCTCTGCAGAAACGCAGGCCTTTTGCCAGGTCTTTGCCATGGCCGCCTGCCTCGGAGCCTGTTGGGGCTGCATCGTCCTTTACTACAGAGGTGCACTGGGGCCCCTGTGTTTTGGGGACTGAGGGAGACACGAAGGGTTTGGGGTGGAAATCCTCTCTTTAGACTACAGTCACTGCTGCCTTGGCTGGTGTCCCCTGGTCAGGGAAAGCTGACAGCACTGAGAGTGGTGGTCATTGCCCTTCCAGGGCAGAGTTAGGGGAGCGCTGGTTGCTGAAGCATAAAATGGGCACCAGCAGGCTCCCCTCCAGGATGGGAGTGTTGGAGGATGTTCCGACTTCCCACCGCAGGGGAGTGGACCAGGTGTCTGCTGGCCTGGGTCCTAAAGGTCACAGGAGGCGTTTTACCTCTGTCCTGCACGTCATCTACTGCACCCTTCCTGGTATGGCCAGTCTGGGGTCTTTTCTCCTTCTTGAAACTTCTTCCACTACCAGATAGCATCCAAGACATGGAAGACAGTGAGTGGGACCCTAGGGGGAAAAAGGATCAAGGTCCTGGTGACAAAATCACAGGGCAAGGAAACTCCTTGGAGGTCACAGAGAAAGCCCAGAGGTGCTGGAGTCCCCGTGGACCAGGAAATCCTGTCCTCGGTCTCGGGACAGGCTCTGGGGGTTTAGCTCTTCCCCTGGGCTCCAGGTCGTGGTCTGCCAGCATTGTAAGCCCTGGAGGGCTGCAATCAGTGACCTAAGGCCACCGTGGGGGAGCTGACAGGGGGCCACTGGTCATCTGTGCATCATGGGACCCACCTGTCCCTGGGCTACCCCTGAGCCTCAGAGCCTGGGCTGCATGTCCCCTGACCACAAGCCCAGCCCCTGGAGCCGCATTTGCCTTCTGTATTCATCGTTCCAGAAGCAGGAAGCAGAACCCTCCAGGAGAAGAGAATTTTCAAGTCAACCAGTGTTTGTCTTCCTCCTGGGGCCTCACAGAGATCCGGATTCAAGCCTCCCCACCTCTGGAGATCCTGCCCAGAGGTAGCACGTCCCCAGCACCCCATATCCCTGAGGACAGGCCCTGGGGGGTAGCACTTGGCCTAAAGCCTCTTCTCTTGGCCACCTGTGCCCTGGATGCTCTGCTTCTCTTTGTGTTTCCACTGAGAGTCCGAGAGGCAGCCCACCCCACGGCCCCCTGCCTTGCCACGATTCCAGATGAATATAACAGCCCACCTCCCCCACTTTCTTCATCTCTCAGGGCCCTCCTTGCCCACAGATTGGCCCTGGCCCTTGGCCTTGGGGCTGAGGAACTGTGATGTGCTAAAAAGAAATCAGGTTGTGGACGAGCGGAGCTCTCTGATGAGATGTGAAGCATCCCGAGCGCCAGGGCTGCTTCCTTCAGGCACTGGTGCTACTGCCATGCTCGTCAGCATCACCCAGACAGGATAGGACAAGCCCAGGGCCCCACTGTGCTTCCCAGTCCCAGGGAAGAGGCAGCGGCGCTTGCTTAAGTGAACCTGGGCCCGAAACCGCCTTAGAGCAACTCCCACTTGCCTTCAGGGCTCCAGGATCCCACAAGGAGGGTCAGCCACCTTCTTTGTGCTTCCATATCCCCGATCATTAGCATTTATCACTGCCTTTATGTCCTTATCAAATATATATATGGTGCTCACTTGTACTACGTGCAAGTCACTGTTCTAAGTGCTTTACTTATGGCCTCAACACGACCTACGGGACAGGAAGTGCTATTAGAATTCCCATTTTGCAGAGAAGGAAACTGAGGCACGGAGAGGTTAAAGTCACTTGCCTGAAGTCACTGAACTGGGAAAAGGTGGAGCTGGATTAGCACTGCAGAGCCCCCGTGTTCTTAACCACTGTGGGATGCACCTCTGTCCTAGCTGCCTGGCTTCGGGTCTGTTCCCCCAGACCAGAAGCTTTTTTTTTCACCTTTACGTCCATAGTACAGGTTTCCCCCACTATCCAAAAGTAGAGCGTTCCTATGAAACTATGAGATGCTGGGTGTAGTTCCTGGGGAAGGAACTTGGCAGGGCCACTCCCGCTGCCCAGGGTGTGGCACCGCCTTTATAAGGGCTTGCTGCAGAACAAATACTGATCTCTATTTTCTCTTGTTTCCGTAAAAGTGGAAGTCCTCTTCAGATTTCTTTCAATTAATGAAAACAGGTGCTAATGTAACTCTTTGTAAAAGTGAACTGGCGTAAAGTGAACTTTTGAGAAGTGGGGATACCTGTAATTGGCACAGTGCTCAGGTCCTCAGTAAAGATTTGTGATTGAAATAATGGCGTAGGTGACTATATACTGCATGAGTCGTGGTGGGAACTTAATGTGTAAACCCATCTCTATTCTTGGAGCTTAGACTTTCACCAAGTGTGTGCCATTTTTTTGTTATACCTGCTCAGCAGTCTAAACCACTCAGCTCAGAGATGTTTTTCCCTCTAATTTTTTCTATTATTTCAAATCCTATGTTCAATGTTTTCTCCAACCTCTATTAGATGTCAAAAAGCCTAATTTCCATGACTTGTAACTTTTTGTAAGTATTTTTCATCTCTTTGTCCTTTTGCACTGTATTCTGGGAAATTCCCTTATCAGGAACTCCCAGGTCACTGCATCCACTTCACTGTTCAACCCATTCATTGACAGTTTCAGAATTTGTCAGTCATGTTTGCAATTTCCAAAATGCTGAGAATGTTTCCTTTTCCTTTTTTAAAAAACAGATGTCTTCTTAAATTTCTCTGACAATATAAGCTATAATTACTTTAGATTTTTCTTCTGTTTACTGCATTACTTCACTTACCTACTGAGTTGGTTCTTCTGTTTGTTGATCTTGTGTATCTCTCTCAGTGCACTGGAATTCCTAAGTGTCGGTGTTTCCTGGTTCTCCATTCATGTTTGAAGAAGTGGGGTGTCTGGACAAAATCGTTGGTTGCTGGAACATCTTTCCTCAGGCCAAGTGGGAATTCCTGCCACCTAGCTGTGAGTGACATCTCTGACTGCAGGAGCCCTGACCATGGTCCTTTGAGGTGGGGGCTAGCAGTCAAGTCCCGTAGCCAGGTGGAGCGAGTGGACATGAATTTCTGAATAAAGGGCTCCACTCCGATGTGGGACCCTTACATTGCTGGGGTGCTGCCCTTGTTCTGTGGGCCTAGCCCCCAGTTTCTGAACCCCTTTTATCTGTACTTGAGGCTTTGACCCTGGGCAAACACTGGAGTCGGTGGCTAAGGGGAGGTAGGGAGGGGGGCTGGCATGACTACTTTGCTGATGCCCCTTCTGTTAATTACCCAAATCCTCTTCCGTTCCCCCACAGCCTCCCACCTGGTGCTATTGAACCCCTGCAAAAGCTCCTCTTCTTCCTCCTGTGTTGGGTGGTGGGTCCCTCTGCCTGGGGGGGTCTCCTTGTCCACCTGCCCCATGATCTTTATATCTTACGTGTATTCCTTTCCTCCTTTGCCTTTTGTCATCTCTCTCAATCCACCTGAATTTGGGGAGGGGGAGATAAATGAGTGCTCTGCAGATTATCTTGTACCCTAAACCCACCTTCATACCCCGGGAAACCAGGTACAGAGCTCAGGAGACCCAGGTGAAGCAGGGCCTCGGGGCCCCTGCATCCCCTGGGCGATGGCGCCCAGCAGGTTCCTTAACAGCAGGCTCCATAGCTGCAGAGCCTGTGGCTGAGTGAGGTCCCTCTGTAGCTGGGTTGACAATGTAGAGGAGAGTTTGGGGTCTACTTGCCACCGGGGGCAGAACGGGAAAGGGGGGTGGGGAACACATGTCCCCAGGTGTCTGTCTCTATGGGCCCAACGCTGGCGGGGGCAGCAGGTTCCATTGCCCTGCCCTCTGTGCCGGCAGAGAATGAAGTTTACAAGGGGGCACTCGGCAAACTTCCTGACAACGCTCCCTCCACGCAGCAAACACCCAGCATGCGCCTCCCATGCACAGGCAGGCTTGGGCGCTGGACAGTTTAAAGATGAGGTAAGATCCCGTTCCTGAAGAGATGATGTTTCAATGAGGAGGCAGTGGTGTGAATAACAACAAAGCCCCTCTTAGAAAGTCCCTTTGAGGAGGTGGAAGGGTTGGATCAGCAGTGGCTGGTGGAGGAGAACGGTCTAAGGCAGCGCCCCTTGCAATTGAACAGGCACACAAAATCCTCGGGGATCTTGGCAAATGCAGATTCTGACCCGGGAGGTCTGGGTGGTGCCTGAGATTCTGCATTTCTACAAGTTCCCGGGTGATGCTGTTGCTGCTGGTCCATGGACCACACTTTGAGTAGTAAGGGGAGAGGGAAGCCACAGCTCCCTGCGACACCCTTGCTGCCATACTGTGGGTGATGTGCAGACCCCTGGGAACCCCACCAGGAGAAGAGTCCTGTGGTCTCTCAGGGAGGTGCTATGCCCACGCAGGCCTGAGTCTCGGTGCTGGGCCGGCCAGGCTGCAGGCCCTCCTACCTGGTGTCTCACTGGCCAGGAATTCATGCCATCCCAGGGGGAAGGTGCTGGGGGTGGGTGTGCCCGGGTGGGACAGTGCCCATCAGCTTGCGGGCTTGGGCAGATGAGACCCCCCCCTCTTCAGAACATCAGGGGCTCCGGCTCTGTTCCAGGGTTGGAGGCTGGATCAGACAAGGTCCTACAGGCATACCTGTGTCCGGTTTCAGAGTTTGTCATCGGGTCCCCGTAAGTGCAAAGTGAGGCCTGTGTGTGGAGCCAGCACATGTGGCAGGTGTCCAGGAACCCTTGGTAATCTCGGGGCCGAGTGACTCAGCAGCCCGTGACATTGGCGGGCCACCCTTGGAACCTAGCTGGGAAAACCCTCCCCAACCACGGAGCTTCGAGGGCCCCTTTCAAGGCAGAAGATGTGCGTGTGGGGAGGGCGGCTGACCCGGGGTTAATAAATAAGCTTAAAGGTTAATCCAGCGTGTGACCAAGACAGGCTCACTCTGCGGGTCTGGAAGATGTCCCGTTACGGAAAAGAGACACTTTAGAATTCTGAAGAACAGTATGTGCTATCAAGACCTTCAAAAGGATCGTGCATGGTGATACTTATCTGGAGGGATGTTACTGGATCCAGCAAGTCCTTCTGCGGGCGGTTCGTATCGTTACCTCTTTAATATTTATTGAAACTACACTCTCACCGTCCTCAGCCCAGGCATGGTACGGCGCCTGGCAAAAGCCTCTTGCTGCTTTTCCTCTTTTTAGCCCCGTCTTGTCCAAGCCTATACCCACACTGGCCAAGAAGATCTCTCAAAACTGTGAACATAACTGGAGCTCTCTTTCTTGAAGCTGCTTGTCACCCTCTGGGGCAGAGCCAGCGGGTGGGCTCTGTGCTCAGGGCCCCTTCCTACTCCAGTCCTGTAATCCTCCATCCATACACATTTTTCTGGGGCCCAGACCTTCTCCTCCCACCTCTACCCCACCCCCTGCCTCAGGACCTTTGCACATGCTGTTCTCCTTCCTCAAATACCCACCCCACCTCCCTCTCCCTGCCTCAGACCTATGCCCTCTCTCGGTTCTTCCGGAGCCCCCTCCCCAGCAGTTAATGTCTTCTGCTTTGTCCCGCTGACATTGTGTGATCAGACTATGTCGTGATGACTTTTTACCTCTGTCTCTCTACTGAACATACCTCCTTGCTGACTCATCTTGGGTCCCCAGGGCCCAACGTGGGGCCTGACATCTGGTAGGTGTTTAATATGTATTTGTGGAGCTGAAGTAATGATGAATTCTTTCACAGTCTTTGGGATCTGAGTCTTGGTAGGTGGAGGGAAATTGCTGGAAAAAAATTTAAGAACCAGGCTTCCCTGGTGGCGCAGTGGTTGAAAAAAAAAAAAAATTTAAGAACCAAGTGGAATAAATAAATGTGTGTCTGAGTTTCCTAGGGTGCAGTAACCAAGCACCACAAACCAGGGGGCTAACAATGGCAGACATTTATTCTCTCATGGTTCTGAAGGCCAGAAGTCCAAGTTCAAGGTGTCTGCAGAGCCATGCCCCTCCGCAGGCTCTGGGGGACCATCTCTCTGTGTGCCTTCCAGTTTCTGGGGGCTCCAGGTGCTCTTGGGCTTGTGGCCATATCACTCCGATCTCTGCCTCTGTTTTTGCGTGACCTCCTTTTCTCCCTGTGCCTCTCCTCTGTGTGTCTGTCACTTGTCATTGGATTTAAGGTAATCCAGGATGTTCTCATCTCTAGATCCTTCGTCACATCTGCAAAGACCTTTTTGCCAAATAAGGTCACATCCCCAGGTTCTGGAGAGTAGGGTGTGGACACATCACTTTGGGGGCCACCATTCAGCCCCTTACAATGTGTAATGAGATGAATCCCAAGCCCTCTGAGACAAATGCAAGAGTGGGTCTCATAACAGCTGGGAGTGGGTCAGTCCAGGCAGGAAGAGCACGGGTGACCAGTGACTGCATGGTCATTCTCTGGTGGCTGCAGGCACTGTGGAGAGAACCGAGCGGGGACACCTGGATCCTGGCCCCTGCCCCATCACCCCTCCACCCCGGGGCCAGCACTTTATGTTTCTGGGGCTCTTCTCTGTGGCAAGATGAGAGGTGAGGACTCATCTCAGGATCCTTCTGTCTCTAAGTCTCTGTCCCTTTAGTCTATTGGCGAATGCAGAGAGGGGAACCCGCAGCAGCAGACACCCTGAAGGAGTATGGGGTGGGGTTGGGCGTGGGGCTTACCACCCTGTGGCATCCCTGTGAGGCTTGAGGGAATCACCCGACATCTCTGAGCCTCCTTTATTCATGAGTCACCCACCTCCTCAGTAGTCCAGAGCATTACCGAGGCATCAGCCTGGTGCCCACACATAATCACAGGACCCCTGTTGACCAACTGTCATGCCTCACAAAAGAGGGTTGGGACCCCCTGCCTTAGGTTGGGTTCCTCCAAAGGTCTGAGTGTAAACCATTTATCTGGAGGTGATCTCAGGAGGGGAAGTGAGACAGCGAAGAGAAGGAAGCCCACAGGGGATGGTATCAAGCCAGCTACCTTCATGGCACTGGGGCCAGACAAGCTGGGGATGGACCCACCAGCTCCAGGCTGGAGGCTGCTCTGGGGGCCTTATGTCTCTAAAACTTCTGACTCGCTCTACGTGGCCCCCTCGAGCTCCTGAAGCCAGAGAAAGCCCTCGGGTACCCGCAGTAGGTACCATCAGAAGGTACAGAAAAGAAGTCCTTTGCCCCCTTCCCCACAGAACCAAAGGAAGTGAGCAGAAGGCAAATAAGAAGGGCTGAATCCACATAGCTGGGGCTGAGGGAAAGTCCAGTCTCAGGCCACCTGCTTTGAGAAGGACCAGTGGACAAGGCTGTGGGTTGCAGGACGATTCCAGCAGTTTCCAGACATCACTGTTCTTGCATCGGGTCAAAGCATAAACTGGGGGGGAGGGGGCTGTGGTGACCAGGGTCCACTGGAGAGGACACAACCTCTGAACGTGAGCACTTGGCAGCCTGGACCCATCTGAGGAAATAAAGCTCAGATATGAGACTGTCTGGTCACATCCTACCTCCTGGAACCCGCAGGTGCAGCTCAGGCACTCTTCCACCGTCTCTCTTCCCCGGTCCCAGAGGCTCCCGTTTCTCAGCCTTCCTACGTATCGAGGATGGAGGAAAAGCCCTCCATTATGTAAAATGAGGCAGGGCGTGAGAAGACGCAGCCAAATTATTTTTAATGAAGTATCACATTGATACCGAAACCTACAAAGATTGTGGGAAGGGAGGAAGGAAGGGAGGAAACCACAGCCCAATCTCACATGCGAAGAGTCGTGGAAAGCTCTAAATAAAACCTTAACAAGCAGAATCTAGCTGCACATTGAAGGAATAATAGCCCTTGTCTAAGTAGGTTCACTGCTGGAATGAAAGGATGGTTCAGCATTCTTTGGAAAACTCATTCATATGATTCAGGAAATTTATTAACATAATTCATCATATTCATTGATTTAACAAGAAAAGTCATCCTGTCAACCCCATAGGTGTTGAAAAGACATGTGACAAAACCCAACAATCTTTCTTGATTTAAAGAGGCAAACCACGGGCTTCCCTGGTGGCGCAGTGGTTGAGAGTCCGCCTGCCGATGCAGGGGACACGGGTTCGTGCCCCGGTCCGGGAAGATCCCACATGCTGCGGAGTGGCTAGGCCCGTGAGCCATGGCCGCTGAGCCTGCGCGTCCGGAGCCTGTGCTCCGCAACGGGAGAGGCCACAACAGTGAGAGGCCCATGTACCGCAAAAAAAAAAAAAAAAAAAAAAAAAAAGAGGCAAACCATGAAAAAAATTCCTTCATCACCATAGTGTGGAGGAGACCTCTCAGATTATGACACAAAAATCCCAAAGTCAAAAAAAAAAAGATTGAAAATTTGGTGACCAAAAAAACAAAATTCTACATGCAAAAAGATCAATAACAATAGCATGGTAACAAAGTCCAAAGAAATTTAAAAATATTCTCAACTTCTATCACAGGCAAAGAACCAACCTCCCCAACATAAAAGGAGCTTGTAGAAATTGCTAAGGAAGCCACAGACCGTAATCAAAAAATAGACCAAGAACAAAAAGAAACAGTTCATGGAAAAAGAAATACAAATATATCTTAAATATGTTAAAAGATGCTCAACCTCACTCGTAAGAAAAGAAAGATGAAATAAAGCTGCCTTGAAATACTACTTGTCACCCATGATATTGGCAAAACCCCACAAGTGTGGTCATAGTGCAATGTGTTAGGAAGCTGGGGACAGTGTACATGAGGGTGTCCCTGGGGAGGCCATTGGGGCTGCCTCTCAAGGCCACCAGCTCACTGACACCTCAACTCCGTAATCCCACTTCTGGAATTTTATTCTACAGATACAGTAGCACACATTCAAAAGAGTATATGTGCAAAGTTATTCATTTCAACATTTTTTGTAATATCAAAATATTAGTTGCAATCCAACTATCCATTGACAGGAAACCAGTTAGGTAAATTATGGAAATCCATACAATGGAATACTAATCCATACAATGGAATACTATGCAACTGTGAAAATGAATCAGGATGTTCTTGGACGTACAAGGTATACCATTGTGGGGAAATAAACACAAAGTGCAAAGTTACCTTTTGCATAAAAGGGAGCAAAATAAGAATGCACATTTGCCCTTGCTTATGTTTTAGGAAGCAAAGGTGAAAGGATGCACAAGAAATTTAAAAAGGTTACCTGAGGGTGGAGGTGGCAAGTGGGGACTGTGGAAGGGGGCAGGTGGGGAACCGCTTCATTGTATACCTTGTTTACATTTTCTGTTCTGAACCTTTCGAATTGACTACCTATTCAACACTTTTAAAACTTGATGCATATATTTGAAGATGCTCTAAGATTTTTCTAGAAGAATAAACATTGTTGGTGGCACCTGCCTCCGGGCAGGTGAGGGTGATGGGGGAAAAGGACTTTTATTTGTCATTTTACAAAGTTCTGGACCATTGGGTTGTTTGCCATGTATACATACAACTTCTCAATTAAAGACAACTAATTATTAATGCTGATGTGTTCCTGAATACATAGAAAAAAGCATTTGAGTGGATTCCTCTGGGGCGGGAAGTGTTGGAGTTAAGACAGCAAAGAGGCTTTCCTTCCATTACCCCCATGAGTCTGTGACTTATACAAGTCTCTACCCCTGCCCTGCTGTGTGAGCCCAGGAAAGACCCTCACCTTTTGCCGACCCTAGGATCTTCTAGGAGTGCAGGGAGGGGCCAAAATCCAGTGAGCCCAGCTGGATCTGAAATGCTGTGACTTCAACTGGAAAAGAAAAAAAGGAAGAATAAGGGGTCAAGTGTGATGCCGGTGATGATGGTGGTGGTTAATACCCACTGTCAGGCCATTCATTATCTCATTTAACCTCACTATAAGTAAGCGGAAGGCTTCCACCTTAGAGATTCAGAGAAGGGACCCTGGAGTTCAGAGAAGGGAAGTGAACTGCCTAAGGTCATTTGGCAGCCAAGCTTGGCCTTGGCGGTTTTTTTTGCGGGGTGGTGGTGGTGGTCGCGTTGGGTCTTCGTTGCTGCGTGCGGGCTTTCTCTAGTTGTGGGGGCTTCTCTCGTTGCGGAGCACGGGCTCTAGGCGCGCGGGCTTCAGTAGTTGTGGCTCGCAGGCTCTAGAGCGCAGGCTCACTAGTTGTGGCACACGGGCTTAGTTGCTCCACGGCACGTGGGATCTTCCTGGACCAGGGATCGAACCTGTGTCCCTGCATTGGCAGGTGGATTCTTAACTACCGCTCCACCAGGGAAGTCCCTTGGCCTTGGCTTTAATTGGTAGAGCCCTTGGATAGAAAAGTCAACCCCAAGGGCAATTCTGGTTCTACGAGAACCAGGGGTTCACTTTACATGAATTAATTTAATGAGACAGTCTGGAGGGCTTTGTGGCTACAATCTGAGGCTGCCTGCATCCCACCCCAAGGCCCGCTCTTCCCACCTCTGCTTGGGTATTCTTGGGGGATGGGCACAGGGGTGAGGATGAGCGTGATGCTGGGAATGCTGCAGTCCCGGGTGTGACCACCAGGTGGCGGAGCAGCTGCACCCAGTCCTGCCCCCCGCAGCCCCAGAAAAAGAAAATACAAATTAAAAATTCCTTGGTCTGGAAGCGGAAAGTCAGTTGGAGATTCCGGGAGCCTTCTGGCAAATCCAGGAGGTTTGACCTTCTCCTGTAAGCAAAGCTTAGGGGCGTCCATGACAGGCAAATGGCAGGGAAGAAGAGAACATTTTTTAAAGCATATGGAAGGAGGAGGTAGAAGGAGAAAAGAATTCTCTCGAAGACCCTGGGATTTCAGTAGCCACCTCTAGCCCAGCCACTATCCAAGGGAGGCCTGGGTCCTAGTGCAGCAGAATCACCTCAGGGCTTATTTTTAAATGCAAATTCCTGGGCCCACAGGGGAACGGCATTTTCACCAGCACTCCAATGGTTTCTGATCCTGGCTAAGGTTTGAAACACCAACATGGCAACACTTCCTTTCCCAGGTCAGAAACCAGGGGCCAGAGAGAGGAGGTCACTGCTCAAGGTTATGGCCCACGGGTCCAGGCCTTCCCCTGTGATGATGGTGTTTGCACAAACCTAGGCATGAAGCACGATTCTTTCCATGTAAAATTTGGCCTGGGATAGTTTTGGAGGGGGCTGCTCCCAATCAGCCCCTCTCTCCTGGCCTCCTGGGCTTTAGTTTGGGCTGGTTCTCTCCCCACCTCTCTATTTGCTATTTTAAAATTCACAACGAGTTCCTGCCCGAGAGGCAGCGGCCAGGGCTTTGAAATCCAGGCCCAGAAACCGGACTCCCGGCTTCCTGGCTGGGCACCACCTTGGCTGAGTTCCCCAAGCGCTCTGGGGAGCTTCTGGGAAGTTTAGGGTCCAGACACCTACCCACACCTCACCCACACTTCCAGCGCTCTTCAGACTTCTCTCCGGAACTGACTCAGCCAATTCTTCTTGCACCTGGGAGGCCCTAATTCTGACCCAAAATCTGAATTCCAGCCTTTAGCTGGGATTTAGTACGTGACAAGCTAGAGACCAAACAGCAGCTAGCCAGGGGCCTCGGAGAGAGCACAGGCTGTGGTGTGTGGTTTGAATCCTGATTATGCTGTGTGACTTTGGGCAAGCTGCCTGCCCTCTCTGAGCCTCAGTTTCCTTGTCTGGGGGAATCAGTACTGTTTCTCTCCTGGGCTGCTATGAGGAGGGAATGAGAGAGTGAAGGCAGCGTGGTCAGCATGGAGCTGAGCACACAGCAAGCCCTTGGTGCCAGGAGCAGCTGTTACTAAGAGGCATAGCGCAGGGTGGGGCCCTGGGGCAGGGGCTCCCTGCCTCCTCACACCAAGCTGGACTGGCATCAGACACTGGGTCAGGGGTGTGTGACTTTACTCACTTCCCCAGTCTGCTCAGCTCCAGGGCCCACGAGGGCCTTCTAAGGGATGCCAGGAAATTGTAGCCTTGGTTTCCAACCTGGGGGAGCTTACAATCTAATAAAGGCAACTTGGAACCTTGAAATGGAAATTTCCTGAAATAGTGCGTCTGTGAGCTGGTCTCCCCATGCTGCCTGGTAGGAGGCACACGGTAAGGAGGGACAGAGCCCAGGCCTGGGCCCTCCTGCCAGCTCCGTGCGCCCACGCCCACCTCCCCCGGCCTCCCTGTAGCCTCAGGGTGGTGGAGCCCCGCTCGAGAGGGCCCTGCTTGATCCTCACTTCTGTGCTTTAGCAAAATGAACTGATATGGTCCAGGATGGGTGAAAGTTCGGCCAACAGTTTCCTGATTAGAAGGAGGGCGTGTAGAGGGTTCTGAAAGTTCAGACTGAAGGATGCTATCAGGCGGCCCGCGGGGAGCTGCTGAGGCCTTTCTGAGTAGCTGCGCCTGCCTTTCTCCCCCAGGATTCCTTGCTAGGATTTAACTTTAACTGTGGCAACGAGGCCATGGCCCGGTTGATGTTTCTTCCACAGCTGTAATTCAGTAACATCACGACATCGAGTCTTTTTTTTTTTTTTTTTTAAGCTTCTTGACCTTTTACTCTTGGTGCTGGAGAACAGGGTGCCCCAGATGCCCCAGTGAGTCTTATCTCCTCTCCAGAGCAGTGGAGCATCTGAGCGGTCATTCCTAGAAGTTGGGTGGGGAGGGGTTTCTTCAGAGTACCTTGGGCATCTTGGGACACACTTAACTGGCTGCCGGACAGCTGCCCCACCCCCACGGGGCCGAGTGGTGAGCAGAAGCAGAAGGTCTGGAGATCCTGCACTTGCTAGTGGTTCTGGGCAGCAGGCTGGTTACTCACCAGCTCCCTGACCCCCAGGAGACCTGCTCTAGGTGCCGGCATCTCTGTCCATGGTGTTCACTGAGCTCTTGGAGCAGCCTGGGGGTGCGGGCTTCTTCCAGGCCCTGCAGGTCCTCACCTTCTTCCTCCTCTTTGTCTGGGTGCCCATCCAATTAGTTGTGGAGAACTTTTCAGCTGCTGTCCCAGGCCACCGCTGCTGTGCCCACATGCTGGACAATGGCTCTGAGGCCCCGGGAAACCTCACCCCCAAGGCCCTCCTGGCCGTCTCCATCCCACTGAGCCCCAACCAGGAGCCCCACCAGTGTCTGCGCTTCCACCAACCACAGTGGCAGCTCCTGGACCCCAACGCCACGGCCACCAACTGGAGCGAGGCTGCCACGGAGCCACGCGTGGACGGCTGGGTCTACGACCGCAGCACGTTTACCTCCACCATCGTGACCGAGGTGAGGGCCTCCCCCCAACCCGCCCCAGCCAACCCCACCACTTCCTTCCTTCCCAGCCTCCCAATGACTGGGAAGATTAGATAGACTGCATCACCGCTGTTGAATGATATGCCACTCCCTCAACACGTAAGTACTGATCACTTGGGATGGCCTGGACTCTGATCTAAGGCTAAGGTTGCAGGATGGACAGGGAGGTTTCTAGGAGCTTACATTCTGCTGGAGAATTCAGAATTAGTCAGCATTTAAACCAGTAATAACAGCAGAACAAGTCTATACCTCGTGCCCTTTAAGTGGCAGCCACCGTTCTGATGCTTTCCCTGTCACCACAATTTCACAACAACCTCTTGAGGTGGGTTTTATTGTTGACCCCGTTTAATAAGTGACAAAACCAAAGCCCAGAGAGGTTAAGTGATTTGCCCCAGGACACAGAGCTAAAGCACACTCGAATCTGATTCAACCCGGGCAGCCAGGCACCAGAACTTCTCCATCACTTTCTGTCCTGCCTTGAGTCTCAAGGCCCCTGCGTCGTAAGTGAGCACAAAGGAGAAAGCAGCTCCTGCTAGTAGGGAAGGGAGAGGCAGGCTCTCTGAAGAGGTGACATTTAAGATGAGACTTGGATTATAAGAGAAGGAATCAAGGACTTACTTAGTGGCACAGGGGTTAAGAATCCACCTGCCAATGCAAGGGACCCGGGTTCCAGCCTTGGTCCAGGAAGATCCCACATGCCTCGGAGCAAGTAAGCCTGTGAGCCACAACTACTGAGCCCACGCACCAGAACTACTGAAGCCCGAGCGCCTAGAGCCCGTGCTCTGCAAGAAGAGAAGCCACCGCAATGAGAAGCCCACGCACCACAACGAAGAGTAGCCCCCGCTCGCTGCGACTAGAGAAATTCCGTGCACAGCAACGAAGACCCAACACAGCCAATAAATAAATAAATAAATAATTTTTTAAAAGACAGGGAAGGAATCAGTCACAGGAATTTCGGGAGAAAGCTTAGTTGGGACAGAGGTCCAAGTAGGAGCTTGTCTGGGTGTTGAAAGAGCAGAACCTGGCACAGAGGGTGAGGGGTCCAGCGATGGCCGGGGCGTGTGGGGAAGGGGCCTGGATTTTGTTTAAGTGCAAAGGAAAGTCATTGGAAGCTTTGGGACTAGGAGGTGCTGTGATCTGATCTGCATTTTCAAGAGGTGACTTTGCAGGGTGAAGAATGCCCTGTGGGGTGGGGGCTCCTCCTGCAGCGGTTCAGGCAAGAGAGGCGGAGATGGAGAGGGAACCGTGGGCGGAGCGGCCAGGCCTCAGTGAAGGGAAGAGAGGCGGAGATGGAGAGGGAACCGTGGGCACCGTGGGCGGAGCGGCCAGGCCTCAGTGAAGGCAAGAGAGGCAGAGATGGAGAGGGAGCCGTGGGCGGTGCGGCCAGGCCTCGGTGAAGGGAAGGGCTGACCTGGGGGGAGAGGTGATGGGGCCAATGTTCAGGCAATGTCTGTCTGGTCCACGTCAGGCAGCAGGAAAATCACGGTGACACGTGCTTAGCCATCAGTGCTCAACTTCATGCCCTGTAAGAGAAGCAACCGTACAGCCCCACTTCTGGAGGAGACGGGCTCTGCCAGGTGCAGGAACGCCCCCAGGGGCACCAGCCTGTCGGTCATCAGCTGACTCAGAATTTAACTGCCACCCACCACTGTCCACTCAGAGCGGCCGTCACGCCATCAGACCCAGAGCCGTGTCACATGCGCCACGCTGTGGGCTGCCAGTGGGAGGCTGAGCCCCGCTGCCCGCACCCCCCTTCCACCTGGGTCGCCTGGCCTTAGGAATCTGGGGAACCCATGCAGGGTGGCCGGATCCCTTCTGGGGATCCTGGACCTTCCTCTGCCACCCTGGCCCTGCTATTCCACACCCCCTGAGCCAGGCTGATGCACCCCCCTTCTCTTCCAGCAGGACCTGGTGTGTGACCACCAGGGCCTGAAGCCCCTAGGCCGGTCCATCTACCTGGCGGGGGGCCATGGCGGGTGGATCACCTGGGGCCTCCTCTCCCACCAGTGAGTATCTCTCCCCTTCCGAGCTCCTTCAACAGAGTGAGCATTGTGGGGACAGAGGTAAAGAAATGTCCAGTGAGCGTTCGTGTTTCCTAAGAGAGGGCCTCCCCTGGTCTGGGGTCTGCGTCCCAGGTTCCCAGGGAGCCAAGAACCCAATGTCTGAACCTCAATGCCAGGTTGAGCTGAGAAATTGCCCTGAACACTGACTCTCATCTTCAGCTATTGCACCAAACTTTATTGAGCACCTACTGTGTGCCAAGCACTGCACAGCCCCTGCCCTCAGGGAGCTGATGGTCTTCTGGGCATAGACAGACCCCTCTTTCTTTTAACTCCAAGTACATGAAATGTAATGAAATAGAAATACTCCTCTCCTCCCCCATCATCCCCCCCCTCCACTGCCCCCCAGCACACCCCTCCTGAGGTGGAGCATCAGAACGCTGTCCGGGACCTGCTCTCCGTCCGCGGTCCCCTCCTGTGTGGGGCGCCGCTGTCCAGTGCTGAAAACGCCCACGTTGCACCCCCTCAGTTTGTAAACCCAACTGCAGACTTGGACGCACCTCACACTTACAGCAGTCAATGCTGAGCCGCTGGCTCTCCACCCCCAGCGCAGCCCCCTCCGCACCAGACTCCATCCTGGAAAACAGCCCCACGGGGAGCCAGCCCTGTGCTCCCTCCCTCACCGCCCACACTCATCCTCCAGGGCACAGCCCCAGCCCAACGCCCCACGCCCCCTGTCCCCCGCCCAAGCCACCGCCCTCTCTGGCCCCGCTACGGCCTCCTCTGGGGTCTCCTGCCTCTACTGGGCCTTCCGTTCTGCTGTAGAGCTCAGAGTGACTTTGCAAAGGCTTATATGTGGATCTGGTCGCTGCCCAGCCTGAGGTCCTCTGGGCTCCCACACCAAGGACAGTCCCCATGCACCCCAACACCCCTGCTCAGCACTTGGCTTCTCCCCCTGAGCCACGCCGGCCCCTCCTGGGGCACCGCTGCTCCCGTCCAGCCCACAGAACCCACTGAAGCCGGGGGCCGAGCCTCGCCTAGAGGTTTCTGCCCACGGCTGCTTCGTGCCCAGCACGCAGGCCTCAGCTCCAGGCCACTCCTCAGAGAGGCCTTTCCGGCTTCAGGCACAAAGGTCCCATGGTCCTGCCCACGCACCCCATCGCAGCTCCTGGCTCTCTCTGCCGGTGCCCAGCTTTTGTTAGCTCGTTTACTGCGTGTGTCCCCATGAGAACGTAGCTCCAAGGAGGCAGGGGCCTTGGGGCCGTATCGTCAGTGCCCAGCACATAGCACCCAATCATAATACACTGAATGCATGAATGGCTTCCGGACTCTGGGCAGTGCAGGCTCTGGGGCCTCATGTGTCCCAGCTTCCTAGAAGGTGGGTTTGTTGCTTCTCTAGACTTCCTCCTGTGAGTGGGGACCCTGCCACCTACCCACGGGGTTGTGATGATTGAGTTCATCACATGCAGAGCTTGGGCCGGGCCAGCACAGTGGTCATTCTTCGTGGGCCTTATGTTATCCCGAGCGTAGCGGGGAGCCTGAACAGCGAGGCAGGAGGTGGTCCAGTTTGCGCTTTCAGAGGACTGGCCGCCATGCCGCCACTTAGCTGTCCCCAGGGGCCACCCACACCGGGAGCCAAATCGCAATCAGTCTGAGGGTCACCTGGTGAGCCTGGGGTCAGCGCCAGGTGTCAGCCTCCAGACCTCACCCCGGATCTGGGGCGCGTGTCCCTGCTTCTGGGCGCTGCTCAGACGGGCAAGGCCAAGGTTCGCCCACATCTCTCCAGTCTGACTGACACATACTTCAGCTGAATGCAGGCAGTGGCTCGGGCTAAGCTGACCTCATTGGGGCTGAGGGCCCTCCGGTCACAGGCATGGGGGAGCTGCCTGGGTCACCCAAGGCCGTGTGCGCTTAGCCTCCTGCCAGGCTCCTCCCTTGTTCAGTGTGTCCTCGTGAATCCCTGCATTTTACAGATGGAGAAACTGTGGCCCAGAGAGCAAGGCATCTGCCATTTTTATAACAAATGCACTCTGTACATGGTCCTAGGAGATCCGAGAAGGAGGTGCTGCCTGCACTGGCAGGTGCTCCGGCAGGTGCCCCAGCCTCCTTCGGCCCTCCGGCGGTGAGTCCCTGCCTCTACGCCCAAGTCCTCAGGGCCCCTCTCCAGGCCCCCACTGTGCTTGTTTCCCGAAATAGTTTGGGCGGAAGCCTGCTCTGAGCTGGCGCTGCCTGCAGGTGACGTGGCCAGCATCAGCCCCATCGTTGCCCTCAATCTCCTGGTCTACGATTTTTGAGCCCTTTGGGATTGTCTGGCATCATCCTGACCTCGACAACGCTCAGTGGATCCCTTGATCACCTGCCCCAGCCCTGTCGGGGAGGGGAGGAGGGGGCTCAAGGCCACTGCATATGGCCCTCACCTGCTCACCTGCACCGCCTTTCAGTGGTGGAGTGGACCACGGCCCGCACGAGGGCCGTCACCATGACGATCCTGAGATGCACCTACAGCATCGGCCAGACGGCCATGGGCAGCCTGGCCTTTGCCCTGTGGGACCGGCGAGCCCTCCAGCTGGTCTTGTTGGTGCCCTTCTTGGTCATCTTCCTGATATCCTGGTGAGTGCAGCTGGGGCCTTTTCCCTTGGGGAGAACATCACTGAACGGGAGGGGCCCCGGGGTGAGGGGCCCTACCACTCTGGCTGGCCACGGCTCCCAAGGTGCCGGGACCATGGAAGAGAATGATGGGAGCAGACCCCACTGGGGAGAGACATCTTGGGGGCTCAGAGTTCCGGGGTGGGCATTTCAGCCAGGGGTCCGTGGTTCCCTCCAGCCCACTGACCTCCAGGCCTGAGGCTGAGGGCTCCGTTCTTCCCTCACATTGGCACCAGCCCCCCCACACCCACCAGCTTCACTCCCTCACATCACTTGCCCAGCCTGCGGACCTCCAAGTCAGGCATTGGATATGGAAAGATATTATCATTATTATTTTCAGTGCTGCGAAAATCCTTGAGGTCTGGAGATACCTGATTGGGTGGGGACTAGAAGAAGAGGTACAGGGAAATAAACACAAATTCCTGTCCTCATAAGTTCTCTTGTGCCCGGGGGCCAGAGTTGAGCAGGTCTGCTGTGGGGTGTAGAGAAGCCTAAGCACTCATTCATTCATTCTCAAATATTTATTGCACTCCTGCTCTGCGCCAGACTTGGCTTTAGGCACTGGGGACCCATCGGCAAAAAAAATAGATCATAGATCAAAAGTCACCGACTACATGGACGTTTATTGTTTCAACAGGACCAGGAAGAAACGAGGAAGACCATCTCATAGTTACACTGATGAAGCCGCCCTAGACACACTGATTGGGTGCGTCCAGGTGCTGTTGGTAACACCAGATGTATATCCACACTCCTTCTAATGAGCAAGAGGATGTTATTACTGCCACTTCCAGATGAGGGGCTGAGGCCCAGAGAGGGCCAGTGACTTGTCCAAGGCCACGCAGTCACTGCGTGCCAGAGGCAAGATTTGAATCCAGGCAGGCTGACTCTTGTAAACGCCTCGTCAAACTGCCTCCAGAAGTTTTTCTTAGCTTCCCTGCAAACAGGGCTGAGCTTCTGCGGGCTGGGAAAACCCTGACCCTTTCAAAAGGGAGATGCTTCTCCCTGCCCATCGGCCCGAGGCTGGGAAGAAGCCTACTACTTTCATAAAACCACTTGATTCTGGTTGGGGATGTTTTAAATGTGTGTGTTTTTTTAAAATGCAGCATGATGCAAGCTTTCTACCATAGAAATGACCCCAGGATCACCCCATGTCCAGGCAGCCTGTGCGCTGTCTGAATGTGAGGCTTGGGCGGGCAGGCTCCTGGCAGCAGGGAAGCCAGATGGGGTGCCAGGGAGTGGGGGCTGGTGAAGAGGGCGGCCAGGCGTTGGGACTCATCTCTATTCTGAGACCATCAGGGACTTCCCAGCCTGGCATTAGTGGTGCAGAGGGAGAAGCGGCTGCCTTCTCCCCACTCCTGTTGCAGCTGGCAGGTCTGCTGCCCACCACCCCCTCCCCACATGACCTGGGGGCAGTGCCCAATCTACACGAAGAAAACAAAGACCCAGCCAAGCACCTGCTTCTTTAACCGGTGGCTGCCGGAATCCGCCCGATGGCTGATTATGGTGGGCAAAACAGATCGAGCGCTTCAGGAACTCAAAAAGGTGGCCAAGATAAATGGCCACAAGGAAGCCAAAAAGACACTGACTATAGAGGTGAGATGCTATTTGTGATACAGTGTGGGACATGACCCAGGGAAGGACATCCACGAATATTTTATCATTATTATCACCAGCATCACCCCAACCTGCTCCAGCACCACCTCCATCAACACACCCATACCATCAAAACACCACCATCAACGTCACCATCACTGTTGTCGGTTTTGCCGTCTCTATCATCACCATCAACCCCACCATCA